TAAGAAGGACCATCAGCCTAACAATGGATCATTAGCACACTGATGGCTGTTTACTGTTCACAGAGGGCTGAGTGATACTAGCAATCACAGCATTGTAAGAGGGGGACAGTTGAACCCGGAGGCCTCCACCCCTGTTTAACGATGGACGATTTCTTTTCACAAAGATGGCCTCCTTTACTCCTCTCTCAAACCATCGTTCCTCTCTGTCCAGGATGTGAACATCTTCATCCCTGAAAGAGTGACCGCTGGCCTGGAGATGAGTGTAGACCGCAGAGTCCTGGCCTGATGATGTTGATCTTCTGTGCTGGGCCATCCTTTTGGCCAGTGGCTGTTTTGTTTCCCCGATGTAAGACTGAAGTGTCAGGAGGGCTGTGATCAGTCTTACATCGGGGAAACAAAACAGCACCTACAGTTGGCCTTCCGCAGCGACGAGGAGCTCAGCAGACTGCTGAGAAGAGTGGCCATCACTCTGGGAGGAGTTCAGCCCAGTATTCAGGCGGTCCTACAGCCCAAGGGGAACCGAGAGGCCAGCTGAGTCTGAGTAGACGGATCGGACGGCATCTGCAGCCAGTGTCTTAGGATCCACTGTGGGATGGACCTTTACAAGAGATCTTTCCTGCCTACAGCCATCAGTATCTATAACATCTCTTAATGAAATGAGGATAATGAGTTACAAAAACAAATAATTTCCCTCTGGGATTAATAAAGTATTTTTGAATTGAATTGAATTGAATTTGAAGCTAGTGGACGTGACATCGGTCTGTGTCTCCATACACCTTTCAGGAATGCTTCATCAATGGGTGATTAAGAACTGTTTTGTCACCGAAGCCCTTGTGACAGGAAGAAATAGCTGCAGCATAAGTTTTAATTGTGCTGAACGCCAGATCTCTGTCCATCAGCTGCTACAGAAAAGACAGCATGCCACCTAGTGGCCATGAAATGGCCTCCACTCCTTTCTCTGCGCACCAGCACTGAAAAAACTGTCCACTTGATGTGTGCAACGTTGTGGTGGAAGCAACTCGTGCACCCTGAATGTACGCACCACATCCTGTGAGAGGCCCGTCTTTTCTAAACGGATCTGTTCAGTGGACAGACCCAAAGATGCTGACCTATTTCTGGGTGAATCCTGATCGCTCTTCCTGCCTGGAGGAGAGCGCCCCCCACAGCAGTTTCCACAGCCGACCTGATATCAGTCGCTGCAGATTCAGGAACCACGGAGCGCATATGCGTTCAGGAGCTACGAGGATGACTGACGGTACTTCCTTCCAGACCCGGTCCAGGGTCCGTGATATCGGCAGGACTGGAGGAAACGCATAAAGGAGCATTTTTGGCCACGGGCTATGAGCGAAGGCGTCCACTCCTAACGGTGGGTCGTCTCGTGGGCTCAGTGAGAACCATAATTGACACTGGGACATCAGATCAGTTCTCACAGAGGGGGGCACAAAGATAATCCACCTCTTCTGATGCACAGGATCTATGCGCAGGCAGGCGAACCATCTCTGAAGGCGTCTCATGTGAAGTAGGCCCAGCGGAACCACGATGTGGGCCGCTGACATCGTCCCAGGAGTCGCATGACAGGCAGAACTGTCACTATGCTGCAGGGTTTGACATGGCAGAGCTGGGTTTGACACGGAGGAGCTGAGCTGATAGAGCTTCGGCTCTCAGCTGTGATAAACGGCTCTCATTGTAGTTGAGTTTAGCTCCACTTCCAGATAAACAATCATCTGGGATGGACAAACGGAAGTTTTTCCCAGTTTGTAGAAAAGCCCAGGTTTAGCAGGTGTAACACTTGGGTTTTGGTCTGTGCGACAGCTTTCTAACTGGACCGAGCTAATAAGAGCAGATCGTCCAGATAAAAAGATTTCTCATTCCTGCCATGTGTAACGACTGCAGAGCCATCTCCACGCATTTTGAGAATGTGCATGGGGTGTTTTAGAATGATGGAAATATGTGCTCTTCAGATCTATGGAGGTGAAAACCAGTCGTTCTGGTGAAGTTCTCCAGCAGCTGTTTGTCAGCATGTGGAATTGTCTCCCCATGATCGAATTGCTGAACATGAACAGGTCGAGAATGGGTCTCATCCCTCCGTTATTTTTTTTCTTCTGAGAACCAGGAAGTAGAGGGAGGAAAAAAAAACGTATTTTCCTCTCTGTTGGGAATTCTGGAAATCACGTTTTTTGTCAGAAATTCCTGAAATTCTAACTGGAGAGACAAGCTCTGTTCTGGAGAAGACAGAACTGTCTCTATAATCCCTTTGAACGGTGGGGGTTGAGCTGCAAACTGCAGCGTGTAACCCCTTCTGATCAGATGGTCTGTCCATCTGTCCAGGGAACACACTCGCTGCCACTCTGAGTAGCGCTCAGAGAGCGGGCACGCATTCATGTTTCTCATGAACGTCAACCAGACTAAAAATTCTTACCCCCATCACTCGCTCTGGAGATTCTCCGGGGGAACCCAATGGGGACTCCGACAGAAAAAAGGGCTGTATGTGTGCCTCTGTGCTGGGCCCAGGCTGCGGTCTCACATAGAGCTGAGGTGAGCCGGCGCGCACCGAGAGGAGGTGTGAGCGCTTTCTGAGTGAGACGTCGTTTCGGTGGAGGCTGCAGCTGTTGTGGAGAAAACACGTTTACTCCCGCTGCACTGTGAGTGGGCAGAAAACAGCAGAACTTAAAAACGGGCTCTGGCTGAAAACGAGGGATTTTACCGGACTCGGTCTGCTGAAAAAAACATAATTTTAACTGACGTGGCAGACAAGTGTTTTGTGATATTTACTTAAACTGCAGTGCCATTTAAAATGTTGTTTAGAGGTTACTGGCTCGTTCTCTGTGGGGAATGTGTGAAGAGAGGCAGCTCAGAGATCAGCTGATCTGACAGTCTCAGATGAAAAACTTTACTTTCAGAGGAGTTTCTGTTTTATATCAAAAACATATATTATAAAAAAACACATAACTTCCCCTCAAGGATCTGTTACCTAGTGGAGGGGGCCGGCAGAGGAGCGGGGCGTGAAGTCGCTGCCACAGCTGTGGAGTGCCTCTGGTGCTGTTGCTGGCCAAGGCTGTCCTTCCAGCGGCCGGAGGGGCAGATGGACTGTGACGTCACCACATGGTGTATAGTCTCTGAGACCTCCTCGAACCTCTGCGATTTCTCAAGGATGATCCTGAAGTTGGCCCTGAACAGCGCCTCTGGGGTGATAGGGCTCTCCAGCAGGTCTTTCTGCATCCTCTCCAACAAGGATGGCGAGAGACGGAGCCAAGTGATCCTCTGGATCATGGTCATCCAGGCGGCGATGTGGGACAGGCAGATCGCAGAGGTGGCACATGTTTAAGATGACATCAGCAGCTTTACAAAGAGAGCTATTGTCTCCTCCAGCAGATCTGCTTTCTCCTTCCTCTCATAGATGCTGTAGGCCAGCAGGGCGACGTTGTTGTTCGCTGCGGCTGTCTGGAATGAGCACTAGTGAGCTCGTTTGGAGACCTTGTCACCATCTGGTCATGCTTCCCTGGAGGGACAGGTTGCTGGTCCATCCTGGAAGCTTTTGCCCCAAGTGTCACCGCCAGGCTTGGCTCCAGGGGGGGACCAAGGGAAAAAACAACGATCGGTAAAACCCTCCACTCTGGACATGGAGG